TCTTTCCCCGTCCTCTCCCCACAGCAGACACCCTGTGAGGCAGGTGGGGCTGAGAGAGCTCTGACAGAAACTGCTCTTTTTCAAGGACAGCTCTGAAAGAACTTGTGACTGACCCAAGGTCACACCAGCAGCTGCAAGTGGAGGAGTGGGGAATGAAACCCGGTTCTCCCAGATTAGAGTCCGCGCAATTAACCACGACACTGAACTGGTAATATTTGACTGGGAGACGAGTTAAAGCGGTTTATTACTTTTGTACTGATGACCAGAGTACTCAGAGCTGCACATTATTTATGGCTTTTTACTCAAACAATCTGAAGAGCTGGATTTTTGCTGAGGTTTTTTTTTTTAAAGAGGCAGGGCAGCTCAGGAAGCTCTGGCTGGGGGATGTCCCCCAGATGGCCGCTTGTGGCCTTTCGGAAGGCTCTGGCTCTTCCCCGACAGGAGGCTCAGCCGGTCGCTCAGCACACGTGCGGCGTAAAGCCGTTTTCCCCGATTCACGTTTGACATTCCAGCTATTCCTTGTGACCGAGCAGGGCCACTACCTCCTATATAGGAGGTAGTGGCAGGGCTTTCTGATTCAGAGTAGTGGGGCAGGGGAGAGGCGAAACGCAAGCAGACTTGGCAGCTGTCCTACATAAATATCCGTAGCAAAGGTTGAAGACGAGGAACAAAATGGGAGTCTTGCTGCTCTCATCTGTTACCTTGGTGATCGGTTTGAAATATTTGTTGTGGCTGGGCCGGAGGGGGGGGGGGAAGACCCGGGAATTGTTCTGGCCCACAGTCGAGAAGCTGATCCTCCCGGCCTCAGCGCTTGACCTCACGGCACCGAAATGGAATCCGTTTGCTTTGTAACTGAGCGGCTCCCTCTCCAACCTCTAGCGAACATCTTTGGTTGTGTTCCTTTGTAAGGAACTCCTTATGCTTCCCCAGATGGCAGGCGTGTATTTTTTTTTTTCTGGAATGCGTTCCCTTGAGCACATTCCTTTCCAGAAATCAGAGAGGGGGCTGTTCTTCTGGCAGGAAGGGGGTTTCTATATGTTGTGCTAGACGCAGTTCAGTACCAGTCAAGCTGTGCAGGAGAAACCTCGGGGAGGCATGTTTAAATTTAAAGCTCTGCCTGCAGAAGAGCTAGCATTACAGTGCATTTGCTGAAAAGAGAAAGAGTCCAGGAGCGCCTTAAAAACTAGCAACATTTGTGGCAGGGTTGGAGCTTCAGCTGCAGCTGGAATGTGAGTCCATCTGTCTTAATATCTTGGAGAGAGGAGTGATTTCAGATTCCAAATGACGATAGCAGGTGAATGACAGTAGACCTCGGACAGGTACAAATCCATAGACTCCACCCTCCAAACCAACGATTCCCTTCTGGGGAACCATCGTTGCCAATCTCCAGGTGAGGACTGGAGATCACTCAAAATTACAACTGTTCTTTAGGTAGCAGAGATCAGTTCCTCTGGAGAAAATGGTGGACTCAGTGTCATTATACCCTGCTGAGGTTGCCACAGCAAATTGACACTGAGTGTCCAAGGCCGGGGCACCCGCCCAGAGCCTCTTTCTAGAGGCCGTTGTATTTATTTCCACAACGGGCCTTTTTCCTAGTTGAAAATAATACAATAAGTCATTACAAACCAGATTGCAATTCCATAATACCATAATAAGTGCTAGATTTGCTGTTGTAGCATTCGTGATGGCTGCCATCGACTCTCACTTCCCAAGCCAGCTCGCAGGTCTTCTGTAGCTGTCTTTCGGTGTCTTTCCAATGGCTGGCACAGTGGGTGTTAATGGGTGTTGCAGTCCCGAGGGCCAGGCGACCCGTTGTTTTAGCCACTGCTTTTGCAACCCAGGAGGCTTCCCGGATATTCACGCGCCGCCTTACAGCTGAAACTCATTCGGCACTTCTGGCCAGCTCTGCTCAAACCGAAAACCGTTCCAGAAGGCCTCTCTCTAACCTTCGTGACTCATCACAACACAGATAAAACCACATTCCTTCTCTGCGGGCGTCTGGAGGTTCCCAGAAGAACTTGGCAGGCCTCTTTGCGTGCTCAGGCATTTGAGGGAAGATTTCTTCCGCAGGAAGAGTCTCAGCTGCTCAGCCGAGATGCCTTGCATGCCTCCTCCCCCTCCACGGTGGAGTCTTCCAGCTGGATCCCTTGAGTTGCAGGTGGCTGCTTGCTTTTAGCGAGCAGACCGACCCCCCATCCCCCGGCTCCCGCTGCCCTCTTGCTTATAAAATGCAAGCCAGCTTGCAAGAACCAGTTTTTTTCAACCATATGAGAGAGCCAGAGCTAAATTTGTGTTGGGCCTGCTCAGACTGCAGACCCCCCGCGATTCTTCCTCAGGGACGCAGAAAGCAATGCTGCAGCTGTTCATCCGTTCAGTACATTTGGGAGGGTGTGTGTGTGCCGGTCCCGGCTCCACTCAACGCAGAAGGACGGGTGGTGCGCCAGCCTCAGGCGCTGAACATGCATGGTCTCTTCCTCCCTGTCTAGATCGAGCGACGTCTTGACAATGTGAGGTCCGTCTACCACAACTCCTACAAGCGTCTGCTGGCGTGTTTGCATGGCCAGTATGGGACAGACGCTGACAAGAGGCATGTAAGTATACGGCTCCTTCCCGGGAGTGTCACCCCGTCTCGCCCGTCGGGATTCCCGGGCCGCTCGCCCTCCTTTGCCGTCCCGAACTTCGCAGCAGTCGATGGTGAGCTGACAAGCACTTGTGGCTTCCGCCAGAATCGCCAAGGCGGCTTCTGCCATTTGCCAATGCCTCCCACTGCTACGGCTCCAGAGTCTGTTACTCAGTTTTGTTTGTGCCGTAATTGAGGTGCAACGCTCCCCCTAAGCTGTGGAGGCTTGTGAGCAAAAATTCTACTCTGTGAGCTACTGGTATTAAAGTTATGAGCAAGCGATTTGGCTGCTGCATAAGTTAGTTTGCTCTGGAGCCCTTCTTACTGAGCTGAGACAGAAGTGTGTGAGCCAGAGGCTAAGAAACTGTGAGCTAGCTCACACTTCTCAGCTGAGGGGGAAAACTGGATGCTAACTCTAAGCTGTGGAGTCTTGTGAGCAGAAATTCTACTCTGTGAACTACTGGTATTAAAGTTGTGAACGAGCGATTTGGCTGCTGCATAAATTAGTTTGCTCTGGAGCCGTCCTTCCTGAGCTGAGACAAAACTGTGTGAGCCGGAGGCTAAAAAACTGTGAACTAGCTCACGTTAACTCAGCTTAGAGGGAACTCTGTTTAGGTGTAAGGCTCTGGGAGTCTTTCATAGGCACCTGCTTTTGGTACTCGATAAAATGGCAGTCTTCCCTCAGCGTTCTGCGTGTGCACTATGCCCTTTGGGAGTTCCCCTCGGATCAGCTGGCAGGTGTGCCGGGAGAGGCCGGGGTGTTCCCTCTGTGCCCTGGCAGCTGCTCCTGAAAGAGGGGAGGGTGTTTGCTGTGCGCCACGGGGACTTTTAGGTGTAGCCCACCAGGCCGGCTTAGGGGATTCCGCTCCCGCCTCTGGGCAGAGAAGAGCGCCTCGAGCCTCGACGGCCTCCCGTCACACCCGACGGCCGGCTTCCCTCAGTTTCCCCGTTTGCGCTTAAACACTGGCCCCTTTCTTTGGCAAACAGACTCCGAGTGGCTCCACTGCAGTTAAAAGGCCAGGCCCTGCAGAGTTCGCCAGAAAGGTTCCAGTGTGTTGGGAGTGGGGAGACAACTAAAAGGGGGGGAAAGGCTTTGCAGCTCACCTGGGAGGGAAAGAGAACGCTCCGTCGCTTTGCTGGTCTCCCCAGCCCTTCACATGAACCTGGGTGAGATTGCCTTCCCCTGGTCCGAGCCTGGCAGTGGTTGGAACAGGCTGCCCCACTCTCATCTTCTTGCATGTCAGGGCCGGGAAGGAGGTGTAGCACCACCTGGGTTGTCAGGGTAGGGTCCCCGGGGGGGTGGGGGGGATGTCTCTTGCAATGCCCCCTCTAAGCCGTGGAGTCTTGTGAGCAAAAATTCTACTTTGTGAGCCACTGGCATTAAAGCTGTGAGCGAGCGATGTGGCTGCTGCATACATCCGTTTCTTCGGGAGCCCTCCTTCCTGAGCGGAGGCAAAAAGGTGTGAGCCGGAGGCTGAAAAACTGTGAGCCGGCACACTAAATCAGCTTAGAGGGAACACTGGTCTCTTGTAACCCGCCTTCACCCTCATCCCCCCCCCCCAAATGACTGGGTCCAAGCTAAGCTGCCGTGGTTTTGGGGGAACCAACATACAACAAATACCATGCACAGATGATTATAACATATCATAAATAATTTTATATTTTTTGAAAAATATTATTACAATAATTTCTTCATTCATAATTAATCATTCACAATTCATAGTATAAGAATATCAAATATCATCTCCATAGAATCTCAAAAGATATTGTACAACCTTATAATTAATAATAGTCCTCCTCTGCAAATAAAAGTTTCAAAAGGGAGGACTACTTATACTCACTTTACAGAGGAGGACTATTATTAATTATAAGGTTGTATGAGATTCTATGGAGATGATATTTGATATTCTTATACTATGAATGGTGAATGATTAATTATGAATGAAGAAATTATTGTAATAATGTTTTTCAAAAAATATAAAATTATTTATGATATGTTATAATCATCTATGCACGGTATTTGTTGTATGTTGGTTTTCCTACTTACCGTGGGTCCTTTTTTTTTTTCCCCTCTCCTAAAAAGGAGAGAATTTTATTGCTTTTACATTTCAGAAAGTTAGGGAAGGGTATATAGAGGGGTAAAGAAAAGTGTTGAGTGATGTTAAAAATTAGTATATTAATCTTTTATTAGTAAAGTCAAAGTCAAAATCTTCTGCAGCTGGACAATCCCTTTTTCTTCTATATCTTTCAAAATCGGTTAATTAGTGTGTTAATAATGTCCCTTTGGGAGTTTTCCTACTTACCGTGGGTCCTTGTTTGGTTTTGTGGCTTTTGGGGAGCAGCTGAAGGGAGAGGGGTGGGGGGTGGGCTGCGTTGGATGGTCTCGAACCGCCCGTGGCTAAGTGGCGTTTGTTTCCCTCCCTGCAGAAGAAGCTCCCCCTCACGGCTTTTGCTCAGAACATGCTGGACGGGGCGGTGCAGCTGAGTGATGAGACCTTGCTGGGGTGAGTGCCGCCTCTCTCTTCTGGCTCTCTGGGGGAGGGGGGAATGCTGGGGGGGCACTCCGCTTGAGGGGATGGCTGAGGGCAAGATGGCAGACGGGGAGGTGCATGCGCTCACAGGTCCTTTTGGGATACGCGCCTTCTCAAGCAGAACATGTCCTGGCACGCACACACCCCATGCCATCTGGCAGTCCACTTTTGAACTGGAGCAGACTGGAGAACATCAGCTGGGAAGCAATGCTCCCTCTAAGCCTGGGGTGTCGAACTCATTTGTTATGAGGGCCGGATCTGACATAAATGAGACCTTGTTGAGCCGGGCCATGTGTGTCGTAAAAGGTAATGCCAGGTAGCGGAGATATAAACTTTGTAAAGGACACAGACAAACACAATAAAAGATTGTTTTAAACTTTAAACAGCACATTTCCAGTGAGTTTGACACCCCTGCCTGAGTCTAAGGTGTGGAGCAAAAAATTCTACTTTGTGAGCTACCTGGCATTACATAAGAACATAAGAGACACCAATGTTGGATCAGGCCAAAGGCCCATCCAGTCCAACACTCTGTGTCACACAGTGGCCAGAAATACCAGGTGCCATCAGGAGGTCCACCAGTGGGGCCAGGACACCAGAAGCCCTCCCACTGTTGCCTCCGCCAAGCACCAAGAATATAGAGCATCCCTTGCCCCAGACTGAGAGTTAAACATAAGAACCCTTGTGGCTAATAGCCACTGATGGACCTCTGCTCCATATGCTTATCTAATTCCCTTTTGAAGCCGTCCATGCTTGTAGCCGCCGCCACCTCCTGTGGCAGTGAATTCCATGTGTTAATCACTCTTTGGGTGAAGAAGGACTTCCTTTTATCCGTTCTAACCTGACTGCTCAGCAATTTCATGGAGTGCCCACAAGGAGTTCTTGCATTGTGAGAAAGGGGGAAAAGTACCTCTTTCTCTACCTGCCCTATCCCACGCATTAAGGTTGTGAGCGAGTGATTTGGCTGCTGGATAGATTAGTTTGCTCTGGAGCCCTCCTTCCTGAGCGAAGACAAAAGTGTGTCAGCCAGAGGCTAAAAAACTGCGAGCCGGCTCACACCGACTCAGCTTAGAGGGGACACTGCTGGGAAGGACGATCTGAAGCTAAAAGGATTTTTTTAAAGAGAAGAATGTGGGAGGTGTTTTTGGGGGGCTGCATCAGAAGGAAGGAGGTGAGAAAGTCACGTTGTGTGGGTCAGGGTCCTTCTGCCCCCAGAACAGCTGCTCCGGATACAAGCCAAGAAGTGCACCGTCCTGCAATTTCTGGACACCCATCCTGATGTCTCTGAGGGGAAAAACCCTAAAACCTCCCAAACTTTTTATTGGCTCCCCATTTGTGCACTCCACAGTCTGAAGCAGGGCAGCGTTTCTATTTTGAGCGGTTTGGAGTTAAACACCAAGCTGTCTTCCCTCCTGTCCAGCAATTGCCCACTTGCCGTCTGCTCTCCGTTGTGTCTAATTTTTTCTCCACCGCTCCCGATTTGCTTTAACAAAATGTTCCCTTGACAGTATCCGTGAAGCATTTTTCGATTTAAGTTTATGTGGCATTACGTGTCTCGGAATAGTTTATGACATAATTATGCACACACCCAAGAGACGCCTTCCAACATATGCCCAAGAGCCCCTTGATAGAACGTTTCCTGTTTTATTTTTTCCAAAACCTCTGGGTTCATCCAGTGATGATACCTTAAGTTTCCATGTGCCTTTTTCGTAGACTGTGAGCAAAACGGTTGACCTCCAAAGTAGCCAGCCACATGCTCAGGTGTGACCAGTGGCCTGACTTCTCTCACCTTGGCCAAAAAGCACCAGCCGCACAAAAACAGTCCAAGCGGCAACAACTGGTTTTATAAAGTGCTTCTTAAACTTATATCTAAGTGTCCCAAAAGCCCCACCCCGAGCACAGACGCCACATATTTTCCTTCCACTTGAGATGTGTCACAATGAGGACTGGACTGTTTAAAAAGTTTTTTTTTTCAAAACAGTTTATTAGGATATGATACATATAGTCCAACATAACTCATAATTTCACAAAAAATCCACTATCCTACCCTCCTCCCTTCCCCCCCCCATTTCAGCTTCCCACAGTGCTCCAACCTCCTGTACAGTTCTTAGTTCTTTATTCTACTTCTTTTTTACTTCAAAATGTCCATAGGTAACTTAATTTTCTCTATGTTATTCAAACAATTTTATCTATTCCTTAGTAATTCTTAATTTCGATAATGGTCAAAGCTAAATAATCCGTCCCTTACATCCCACTTTTTCTCCAGATATTCTTTAAGATCTTTCCAATCCGCAAAAAATTCCTCTGCTTCCAAATTATTCAATTTCCTTGTCATTTTGTCCATTTCAACCATAAACAATAGTTTCTTAATCTGGACTGTTTAAAAAGTTGATGGTGATCCATTGCCAGCATGCTGGGACTGCAGTTTAAGCTAAACTCTGGCCGGGATTATTCCACATGAAGACATTTCAGGATGGGGTTGGGCCCCCCCCAGAAAGACCCTGCAGGGGGAGAAAGTGTTCACTCTCTCAGTCAGTTCGGTGTAGTGGGTAGGAGCGCAGGCTCTAACCTGGGAGAACTAGGTTTGATTCCCCACTCCTTCTTGACATGCAGCTGCTGGGGTGGCCTTGGGTCAGTCACAAGTTCTCTCGGAGCTGTTCTCTCAAGAACAGTCCTCGAAAGAGCTCTCTCAGCCCCGCCCACCTCACAGGGTGTCGGTTGTGGGGAGGGGAAGGAGATTGTAAGCCACTCTGAGACTTCTTCTGGTAGTGAAGGGCGGGGTATAAATCCAATCTCCTCTCTTCTTGTTGTCTTCCCTTCTTCAGTCTCCTTTCTGCCTTGTCCATCAACACTGGGGATCCAAACACCTAGGTTAGGTGGGCCCAAAAGCTTGTGTTCACAGTGTGGCATCTTTCCACCGTTCTATGAATAGCAGGTTTATATGATACTTCTAAAACTCCTTTTAAAGCTACTTTTAACCCTTAGGTAGAATTCACTGCCAGAGGATGTAGTGATGTCCACAGGCATAGATGGCGTTAAAAGGAGATTAGACAGATTCATGGAGGGAGAGGTCTTTCAGTGGCTACGAGCCATGGTAACTAAAGGGAACCTCCACGTTCAGAGGCAGTCAACCTCCAAATCCCAGTGCCTGGAGACGGCATCAGGGGACTGCCTTGGACTCTGTGCCCTGTTTGTTGGACGTCCAGAGGAAAGTTTGCCCCTATGTGAGACAGGATGCTGGACTAGGTGGACCCTCACTGGTCTGATCCAGCAGGGCTCTCCTGATGTTCCTTATCAGGGGAAGGCCTCGGCCTCTCTGCCCTGTTGCTGGCCCTCCAAAGGAACTGGGTGGCCACTGTGTGAGACCGGATGCTGGACTAGATGGACCTCATTGGTCTGATCCAGCAGGGCTCTCCTGAGGTTCATATCAGTTTAGAAAGTGGGGTTCTTTGTGATATAAAAGATAAAGGTTCCCTTGCTCGAAAGCCAGTCGAATCCGACTCTAGGGTTGCGGTGCTCATCTCCGTTTCAAAGCTGAAGAGCCAGCGCTGTCCGAAGACGTTTCCGTGGTCATGTGGCTGGCATGACTAAACACCAAGGCGCATGGAACTCTGTTACCATCCCACCGAAGTGGTACCTACCGGTATTTATCTACTTGCAATTTCTTGCTTTCGAACGGCTAGGTTGGCAGGATCTTTGTGATATGGGGAGCTAATTTGAGAAATGAAACTCCAGTGCCTCCTTGCATGAGCAAAACTATACAGTTTGCATCTTAGTCCTGGTGTTTTATTGAACGTGGTTCTCTTTGTTGGGAGTGGACCCCCCCCCCCAGTTTCCTGAAGAACCCCTTCCAGAGGTACCAAGCAACATGGGGCTGAATTGTAGAGGGGTCTCACAGGAGGAGCTGCAGTGGCTCAGTGGTTAAGACGCTGAAATGCAGGCAGGAAGGTCAGTAGTTCAGCAGTTCAGCTACCGTCTCCAGCCCCAGCTCCTGCCAACCTCGCAGTTCGAAAGCAAGAAATTGCAAGTAGATAAATAGGTACCGCGTCGGTGGGAAGGTAACAGCGTTCCTTGCGCCTCGGCGTCTAGTCATGCCGGCCACATGACCACAGAAACGTCTTCGGACAGCGCTGACTCTTCGGCTTGGAAACGGAGATGAGAACCGCAACCCTAGAGTCGGATTTGACTGGCTTTCGAGCAAGGGAAACCAGTGGGCTCCTCAGAAGGTGCAGCAACTTCTCCCCCCCTTCTGACCCCCCCCCCCCCCGGCCAAAATGGTAGGCAAGGCTTGTTCCTCCGGGAGGTTGCCCTTGGAGCTCTTTGAAATGTGTGAATAAAGGAGCCGGGTTCTCCTTTGCCTTCAGGAAAATGCTAGAGACGTGCGGCGATGCAGAGAACAAGCTGGCAACAGAACTCTCTTACCACGAGGTGCAGGTTGAAAAAGAGATCTTGGAGCCCATCAACCAACTGACCGAGGTAAAGTGCTTCCCTGCGTCCCTGCTGGACCCCACCCCCCCAAGCTCAGAAGATACAGTGGGTAGGCAATGCCTGCCAGACACAGAGAGGGGGCCCGCGTGTGCCTTTCAGTTCAGGAGCGCTGTCCGCATGACCGGTTTCCTTTTTTAAAAGTCTCCGCTTCCTGTTTTCTCTTTCTTTGCAGGTGGAAATCCCCAACATCCAGAAGCAGAGGAAGCAACTGGCCAAGCTGGTGTTGGACTGGGATTCCGCCCGGGCGAGGTGAGGCCCAGCCCCTCGGGTGAGCTGAGTCCAGCGCGGGGAAGGCCGTCTCCCCAGAGCGTCACTCCTTTCCAGAGGGAAGAATTGGCTCATCCTCAGAGGGATCTGCAGGGCCTTTCCAGCCAGCCCATGGGCCCTCTGGCCTGCCCAGCTTTGTCTCTGTGCTGTCCTTGGCAGCCCAGTCCTGGCTGTTTGGGGTTAAGTGCACAGTTAAGAGCCAGTTTGGTGTAGTTAAGAGCAAAGTCGTAGTGTAGTTAAGTGCGGAGTAGTAGAGCCAGTTTGGGACTATAGTTAAGAGCACAGTTTGGTGTAGTTAAGTGCCCAGTTAAGAGCCAGTCTGGTGTAGTGGTGAAATGCGCAGACTCTAATCTGGGAGAACCGGGTTTGATTCCCTACTCCTCCACTCGCAGCTGCTGGATGACCTTGGGCAAGCCATAGTTCTGTCAGAGCTGTTCTTGAAAAAAAGCAGTTTCTGTCAGCGCTCTCTCAGCCCCACCCGCCTCACAGGGTGTCTGTTGTGGGAAGGGAAAGGGAAAGGAGTTTGTAAGCCGCTCTGAGACTCCAAGTGAAGGGTGGGGTATAAATCCAATCTCTTCTCTTCTTCCCATTGGAAGTGGAGTTGCTTGGCTGGAGTGTCAGCAGAAGCGCACAACAGGTTCTGGACCCCGGGATGGACGGGCAGGGTGGAGGCGGGCTACAGAGTCACGTGGAGCCCCCCATTAAAGAGCAAATCGGAAGCGACCTTCAGGGTCATCTAGTCCAACCCCCTGCACAGTGCAGGGAATTCACAAACACCTCCATTCAGTCCCCTTGGCGAGCACAGAGGGTCTTTCCCATGGCTTGTTCCAGAAAGCTTTTCCGGAGGGTGAGGTGAGCACTGTGTGCCGCTGCTGTCCCTTGACCCTGGGTGGTACGGTGGGGAGAGAGTGTCGTGTGCAGTGCTCCCCCCCCCGCTAAATTCTCTCCGCCCGTCTGACTCGTGCAGGTGGAACCAGGCCCACAAGACGTCGGCTGTGAACTTCCAAGGGCTCCCGTCGAAAATCGACTCTCTCAAGGAAGAGGTGGACGAAGCGGGGAATAAAGTGGAGCAGTGCAAGGTGGGTGTGGGGCTGGGGGACTCTAGGCCCTGTTCCCCTGGGGCTTCTTCTCCGGTGGCCTTGGATCTCCCCAAGGCCCACCCTGGTGTCTGCCCAGGGGAGGGGGAGAGCACCCATCAGCCCCCCCCTCTTGTCTCCTCTTCACGTCTTCGAGGCACGTGGTGTAGTGGTTAAGTGCGCGGACTCTAATCTGGGAGGACTGGGTTTGATTCCCCACTCCTCCACTTGCACCTGGCTGGATGACCTTGGGCAAGTCGTAGTTCTTATAAGAGCTGTTCTTGAAAAAGAGCCGTTTCTCTCAGAGCTCTCTCAGCCCCACCTACCTCACAGGGTGTCTGTTGTGGGGAGGGGAAGGGAAAGGAGTTTGTAAGCCGCTCTGAGACTCCTTGGGGTAGTGAAAGGCGGGGTGTAAATCCAATCTTCTTCTTCTTCATCCCTGAGAGCTGCTGGCCCGCTTGGCTCTTCAGTGGGCACCCTGAAGGTTAAGGGGTGTTTGTTTCCTGCTGCCGGGCATGTCCGACCCTTTTCCTCCCTCGGTAGAGCTCTGTGTCCTCTGTACACCCCTGCCTTCCCCTGCAGTCAAAAAGTCTGTACTGAGAACAGAACGGGGTGGAAAGGAACTCGCTGAGCCAGTTTGGTGTAGCGGTTAAGAGTGGCCGGGACTCTATTCTGGAGAACCGGGTTTGGTTCTGGAAAATTGGGTGGGGAAGGGGAAGGAGAGGTCTGAGACTCTGACTGAAGGGCGGGGTATAAATCCAATCTCCTCCTCCTCCTCTTCTTTTTCTTCTTCTTCTTCTTCCCCACTCCTCCACATGAAGCCAGCTGGGTGTTCTTGGGTCAGTCACAAGTTCTCTCAAAGCTGTTCTCTCCGGAGCAGTTCTCAAAAGAACTCTCTCCGCCCCACCTACCTCACCGGGAGGATGTCTGTTGTGGGGAGGGGAAGGGGAAGGAGTTTGTAAGCCGCTCTGAGACTCTTGAGTGAAGGGTGGAGTGTAAATCCAAATGTTCTCCTTTCTCTCCGGAGGGCTTCTTTTTGAATGCTCTCAGTGACGAGGATCCAGCCAACGCTCACACAGATGCGCGTAGGCTGGGATCGAGGCCCGTGCTCCCATTCCCTCTCTCTGCATGCTGTCTTGTCCCTCACCCTGTTGTCTCTCTTGGTCTCCCGGCCAGTTCCTTTGGGCAGCAAAAGGCTCGATTCTGCAGTTTCCGCAAGACGAAAGCTCAGGTTCAGCCTGCAAGACTCCGTGGCGGATAGCGCACGGCGTGAGGGGCTCATGCTCAGATGACCCTCCCCAGGGACCGCCTTCTGGTCCCCTTGGCCCGTGAACCGGCAGGCGAGCCCCAAGGGAGTGGGGCAGGCGGAGCAAAGCCCCCTCTTGGGTTTCCCGCGGGGAGATGCAAGCATCACTGATTCTTTGCTTCTCTTCCCCCCAACCTGAAGGATCAACTGGCGGCGGACATGTACAGCTTCATTTCCAAAGAAGGCGACTACGCCCGGTATTTTGTCTCGGTAAGCGCCTCCCCCCCCCCGCCGCCACCGTGCTCCCTCGCTCAGCCATACATTCCACGTGCTTCTGCCCCGTCATTGCGTCTGTGTCCATCCGATGCTAACGTCTGTTTTGTGTTTTTTGTTTTAAATTGTGGGTTCTGTTCCCAGTTGTTAGAAGCCCAAGCAGATTACCATAGAAACGCATTAGCAGTCTTAGAAAAGGTGCTCCCCGAAATCCAGGCCCATCAAGGTAAAGTAACCTGCGCTCTGCCTCTTGCTTCGCCTGTGCCATTTCTGCACTCTCCTCTCTTCTGACTTGACCCCCCACCCCCACCCCCTTTTCGGCATGATTCCCCCTTCTTCGGGAACACGGGGGCCATCTCCCCCGAGTGGCCCCGTCTCCTCGGCAGCTGCACCCCCCTACACACACCTCTAATACACTAACACACCACTTGAGGGTTTGTCCAGAACCCGTCCGGGGCACAGAGACAGTCGAGTATCACTGTGGACCAGCCACCAGGAGGCGTCCTTCTTCCTGTGTACCTGGTTGCTCTCTGTGACCGCCACGTCTATGGAACTGGGAAGTTGCCCTAATTGGCACCCGGCTGTCTGCTCAGATGGAGATTTATCTGCTCTCTGAGGCTGCAGGCAGAGAAGACAGGTTCCCCCCAGCCCTGGTACTTGAGACCAATGCTCCCTCTAAGCCGTGGAGTCCTGTGAGCAGAAATTCTACTTTGTGAGCTCCTGGCGTTAAAGTTGTGAGCGAGCGATTCAGCTACTGCAGGAATCAGTTTGCTCCGGAGCCATCCTGCCTGAGCTGAGACAAAAATCAATGAGCCGGAGGCTAATAAGCTGTGAGCTAGCGCACACTAACTCAGCTTAGAGGGGAACACTGCTTGAGACCTCTTAACCGAGGGTGCCAAGGGTAGAGCCCCGGGGTCTCCTGCATTCAAAGCAAGTGACTTAACCGGCTTTGGGAGGGACAGACTTAATCTGTGAGGAAGAAACTGGAGAGGCCTGGCTGTGAGGCAGGAGGCTGCCTGATACTGACACAGACCAATCTTCCCTCTAAGCTGTGGAGTCTTGTGAGCAAAAATTCTACTTTGTGAGCGACTGGCAATAAAGTTGTGAGCGAGCAATTTGGCTACTGCATAAATTAGTTTGCTCTGGAGCCCTCCTTCCTGAGCTGAGACAGAAATCTGTGAGCCGGAGGCTAAAAAACTGTGAGCTAGCTCACACCAACTCAGCTTAGAGGGAACACTGACACAGACCCCCAGTCCGTCAGTCAGTATTGCCTACTCAGACTGGCAATGGCTCTCCAGGGTCTCAGGCTGAGGTCTTCCCATCACCTCCTGCCTGGTCCTTTCAACTGGAGAGTCCGGGGATTGAACCCGGGACCTTCCGCATGCCAAGCAGATGGTCTGCCACTGAGCCACAGCCCACGGTGCCCAGCAGCAGTGAGTTTTTTTCCGTGCAGAGCGGCAGGCCAAACGGTGTGGCCAGAGCACAGAGTTCCCCATCTGGACGCTTCCGGGCTTCTCATTTCTAGTGCTTCCTGCATTAACTAACCATCTGCTGTGCTCTTTAACGTGTTTCCTTTTTTGCGAGTTAAAATAATGTGAGTTAAAATAACCTGTATGACGGATTGGTTCAGAGGCGCATTTGCTTTTGGAGGAACTGCTTGCGAGGGGCTACTCCGTAATCCTCCCCAGAAGGGAAATCAGGATTTGTAGAAGGAAGGGGGGCAGCCTCTGAAATATAACCAGTGCCTTGGAGAGGAGGTCAGATGCCCACCTCCTTTCTCTAAATTGGCAGTTTCGTGTGTGCCTGGGGGGGCAGAGTCACTCCCTGGGGCGCTGCTGGTCAATTTGACCCCAGGAAAGCCAGGCAGAGATGTCCTTTACTTTCTCCTCGGGTGCCCATTCATACACCACCACCACCCTGGGTGTGCAGCGATCTGCTCTCACCACCTGCCTCTGTAGGCAGTCTGGATGCCTGGATCTCGTCAGTCGCTGCTGCCGGTAAGTTTAGAATTCAGAACGCAGAGTGGGTTGAGCACTTGCAGGTATAGATCAGCCTCCTTTTGCTGCCTACACCGAATTGGTCGCTGTTAGCTCCATTCTCTGGGAAAGCTTTAAGAATTCCTACACCAAGTAAAATTTATTTATTTATTTATTTATTTAGTCTCCCACCCTCCCTGCCAAGACAGGCTCAGGGTAGCTTACGGAGGGGGGGGGGGAATTTAAAATAAGTCCATAGCATGTAAAATCATAGGGTATCAATAAGCGATGGCGGCGTTCTCTTGACATCCAGATGGTCAGCTATTTCCATAATCCGGGTTCTTGCCAGCCTCTCGGTTATTAAGTTGGTGTTGATGTTGGGGCCGGGGCCACAATATTAGAAGGCGGTAACCTAATTGAAAGCCTGGTGGAAGAGCTCCATTCTGCAGGGCCCTGATACCTTCTGGGAGCTCGTTCCACCAGTAAGGGGCCGCCATAGAAAAGGCCCTGGCCCTTGTCATGGCTAGACCGGCTTTTTTAGGGCCTGGGAGGGCCATACGGTTTTGGGACCACTGAGCTTGGAGCGGGGCGATGGGCACTCGAACTCAGGGCTTTCAGTTAGCATTGGAGTGAAGCATGAGAGCAGAACCAGGTGTTTGGAGGAAGTCATGTTGTTGCGTGGCACCTGATTGGTGGGCCGGCCCCTGCCTCATTCCGAGCCCGCCTCTCAGGTCCCCCAGCAGCGAGGGAGCCAGGTTGCCACAGGGAGCCTGCTCGCAGAGCCAGAGGTGGCTTTGGCGGGCAGCAATGTTCCCTCTAAGTCATGGAGTCTTGTGAGGAATAATTCTACTTTGTGTGTTACTGGCAAAGTTTTGAGCGAGCGATTTGGCTGCCGCATAAATCAGTTTGCTCTGGAGCCATCCTTCCTGAGCTAAGACAAAAATGTGTGAGCTGGAGGCTGAAAAACTGTGAAGTAGCTCACACTAACCCAGCTTAGAGGGAACACCCGCCGGGCAGTAGGGTCTTGCAGGCTGCTGTGGAACGGTGAGCAGTCATCCGATTCCACAAGCACTCAGAAATCTCAGCTAGAGGCCCTGATGTGGATAGCCCAGGCAAACCCGATCTCGTCAGATCTCGGAAGCTAAGCAGGGTCGACTCTGGCAAGTACGTGGATGGGAGACCTCCTCGGAATACCAGCAGTCAGGAGGCAGGGGCAGGCTTCATTCAGCCACCTCTCTGAATATCCTCCAGGCCCCCAGTAGGGGTCAGTCACCAGAGGTCGCCTTGACTTCCAGGTCCACACATACATGCACACATATGAAAAATAATAAAAAAAAGAATGAAAGAAATCTCAGCTAGAACATGATGTCGTTGTGCCACACCCACGCCCGCGTAGTTATGTGAATCTGGCCTCTGGGAATGCCTGGCTTGCGCCCTGTCCTCAAGGAGGGGCTCTATAGCAAGTAGAGCCGCACCCGCTAGCTGCGCAGAGAGGCTGGCACAGGATGCTTTCGACTGGCTGATGGGGTCAATTCTGCAAGCTTGGCCCTTCCGGCTTCCCCCAGGGCCGGTCGGCTGCTCCGAATCGCGCCTGCGCTGCGTTTGAGCCGCCGCTTCTCCCCGGCAAGCCTGGCGCTCACCCTTAACGCTGCCCTCTCTGACCAGACAGGTGGACGGAGAAGCCGGCCTTCGGGACGCCCCTGGAGGAGCACCTTAAGCGCAGCGGGCGGGAGATCGCCCTCCCCATCGAGGCGTGCGTGATGATGCTCCTGGAGACGGGCATGAAGGAGGAGGTACGGCCGTGAACCCCCAACTCTGTTCTTCTGGGGGCTGCTGCTGAGCCCTGCCGCGGTGCACTGACTGGGGTGAGACCTGCCTGGGAAAGGGCGTGGCCAAACCCCGGTGTCTCCTTTGTGGCCTCCCTCCACGGCTCCGTGAGCTGGGGAGAAGCAGCCTCCCTGTTCAAGTGGAAAACGGGCCAGAGCCAGACCTGCCCCTCTCCCTCCGGGCCTCTCTCCAGAGAGTTGCCCCCAGCCTGAGCCGGCTGCAGGGATCGCGAGCGAGGCACCTGCTGAGCGGGGCCCTTTGTGGGTGGGAGGGCTCTCGTGCCGCAGAAAGGCCCGCCAGCCAACCAGAGGTGCCCGCTGTCGCCACCCGCAGGGCCTCTTCCGCATCGCCGCCGGAGCCTCCAAACTGAAGAAGCTCAAAGCCGCGCTGGACTGTTCCACCTCGCAGCTGGACGAGTTCTACTCCGACCCTCACGCTGTGGCAGGTACGTTGCGAGAGAGCCGGAGGTGCCTAAGCTGTGGAAGCCTTGTGAGCAAACCTTCTGCTTTGTGAGCGACTGGCATTAAAGTTGGGAGCGTGCGATTTGGCTACCACGGCATAAATCAGTTTGCTCTGGAGCCATCCTCTCTGAGCGAAGACAAAAATGCGTGAGCCGGAGGCTAAAAAAACTGTGAGCTGGCTCACGCTCACTCAGCTTAGAGGGAACACTGGTGCCTTGTGCTTGTGTGGGTACTTGTGCTTTTAATATCTTTTTAACCTTTTAATGTAAGCCGCCCTGAGCCTGCCTCGGCAGGAAGGGCCGATAAAAATTGAATAAATATACATTGTACTGCTGGGATTCTCCGAGAGACCCCCGCAGCTAGGGAGATGGGCTGTGCGGAAGGGCAGGGAAGGGAAACACCAGGCTTGAGGTTTTGGCCATGGGGAGAGGCTTGTTTTCATACCACTGCTGCGTTTACCTCCTAACACATGGCCAGTTTGGTGTCGTGGTTAAGTGCGCGGACTCTAATCTGGGAGAACCGGGTTTGATTCCCCACTCCTCCACTTGCAGCTGCTGATGTGACCTTGGGTCAGTCACAAGCTCTGGCACAGTGGTCCTTGAAAAAGGGCAGTTTGTGTCAGAGTTCTCTCAGCCCCACCCACCTCACAGGGTGTCTGTTGTGGGGAGGGGAAGGGGAAGGAGTTTGTCAGCCGCTCTGAGACTCCAAGTGAGGGGCGGGGTAGAAATCCAATCTCTTCTCTTCTACTATTGGTGGAAAATCTCCCTGCCCTCGTGTCCCTGTTGGGTGCTGCTCTCACAGTCGTGAGGGGGGAAAGGAAACACGTGGAAAGCCACGAAAAGCAAGGGCTGTGAAATAATTCATTTCAGCATGCACACGCGTTTCAGAGCAGCCCATTCGGTGTTTTCTCCTTTCGCCGTTTTGTCCAGTACCCAAAGTCTGGGGCCATCCAGATGCTGGTTCTAATTGAGCCGGGGGGGGGGGAAGCATTTCCAGGAATCCTTCGAGGCGACCCTGCCCGTTCCCAGACCAGCTGTTTCGCGTTATCCTTTTCCATCTGCCGGTGCAGCTTGCTGGAGATCTGATCTGAATTAGTCCAAGTGGATCCCTTCCTTGCAGCTGTTGCGGGAGCGCAAGTTAGAAAAAGATGTTTCTGCAGGCCTGCCCGCTCACACTGGCACTCCTACCATGCCGTAGGTGACTTCTTCCTGGGCCCACAGACGTGTGTGCCACATCAGGAGGGGCAGCCATTTCTCTCCGTGGGAAAGTGCTCACTGTGCAGGCAGGATCGATCCCCCTGTCGTTCAGGGGAGGGGCACAATCAGTGGCCGCCACAGCTCTTGAGCAGCTGCAAAGGGCCAGCGAGATGTATAACGGAGCGGCTGTGTCCTGGGGGGGGGGCATTCCCTGCTCCCCAGGAGCTGCTGCAGTTGTCCTTTGCTGCCAAGCCTGTGGTGCTTGAGGGGCCGTGTTCCTTCAGAGCTCCCCAGAGTTTTCCACGAACCTGTCTCTGCTGCACCTGCTTCACTTTGCTGCAGAGACAGGAGCGTGCGGGGGGCTGGGGGGGGGCGTTTGCCCTAAAGCAGCGGGCGAGAGGGACTAGACGATGACTTTTCAAAAAAAATCTAGTTCTAAATCCTCTGGATCACTGTGGCCTGCAGGGGCTGTTTCAGAGCCGAACTCTTCTTCCTCTGCTCAGACGAAAAGCGACTCTTTGTACGACATGGCAGCCAGCATGGTCCTGAGTCAAGGCTCCCTCTGAGCTGTGGAGTCTTGTGAGCCAAAATTCAACTTTGTGAGCTACCGGCATTAAAGTTGTGAGCCAGCGATTTGACTACTGCATAAATTAGTTTGCTCTGGAGCCATCCTTCCTGAGCTAAGACAAGAATGTGTGAGCCGGAGGCTAAAAAACTGTGAGCTGGCTAACACTAACTCAGAGGGAACACTGTTCTGGAGCCCTCCTTCCTGCGCTGAGACAAGAATGTGTGAGCCGGAGGCTAAAAAACTGTGAGCTAGCTCACACTGACTCAGCTTAGAGGGAGCACTGCTCTGGAGCCACCCTTCCTGAGCTAAGACAAGAATGTGTGAACCAGAGGCTAAAGAACTGTGAGCTAGCTCACACTACCTCAGCTTAGAGAGAACACTGGTCCTGATCCTTCCTGATGCTGGTGTGTGTGTGTGTGTCTAGTCTTGTTTCTGAGCTCTGCTGGGAGCAGGCAGTCGAGGGGGAGTCCGTGTGCTGTCGGATCGCATTCAACCCTCGTGGCCCTGCTGTCTCCTCCAGGTGCCCTGAAGTCTTACCTCCGAGAGCTGCCAGAGCCGCTGATGACCTATGCCCTGTACGAGGAGTGGACCCAAGTGGCAAAGTAGGGAACGGCTGTGGGGTGGGCCTTTTTCGTCCCTTTGCTGTCTCCAGCCATCTTCTTAAGAGAAGAGCCGCCCCTTCCCTCCCTCCCTCCCTTTGCTCTTTGACCACCCCTCCCTTTGCCCGATTCTTTCTCGCTTCAGCTCCCAGAAGTCCCCCTGCTGGCGTGGCGGTTCCTGCCCAGGGCTTAGAAACGCTTAGGAAATATTTAAACGTCCCGGTGGCTCCGCTTTCCCGTCTGCCTTCCGGGCTCACCTGAAGCAGAAGAAACCAAAAAAAGGGGAGGGGAATCAGCGTACAAGAATAGGTACAAAGCATAAGAGACCACTGGTTGAAATCACTTAAATTGAACAATAAAGTAAAGGTAAAGGTTCCCTTGCTCGAAAGCCAGTCGAATCTGACTCTAGGGTTGCGGCGCTCATCTCCGTTTCAAAGCCGAAGAGCCAGCGCTGTCCGAAGACGTTTCCGTGGTCATGTGGCCGGCATGACTAAACACCAAGGTGCACGGAACGCTGTTACCTTCCCACCAAAGTGGTACCTATTTATCTACTGGCAATTTCTTGCTTTCGAACTGCTAGGTTGGCAGGAGCTGAAACTAGAGACGGGAGCTCACTCCATCATGCGGCACCCGGGTCTCGAACTGCTGAACTACCGACCTTCCACAGCCTGCAGTTCAGCGTCTTAACCACTTGAGCCACCGCAGCCCTAATTGAACAATATATATGTATATATAAATAATATTTAATGCCACATTCACTGTCAATAACTGGATGAAGCCTAAGTATTCTTACAAGAAACAACACAAATGCAGAAAAATATAATAGTACAGAAAAGTAAAGTCCCAAAAATTTCAAAGTGTCTCACTCCTGTTGTATTATAATTTCATAGTCCAACTTGACATGCAATTTGCATCCGGACTACGCATCTCTTATGGTTTATGGATTTCTAGATTATTTGGATCCTCCTGGAACTATATGAGTCCTCTCCATGATGAATGCCTGTCAGGTTGGACTATGAAATTATAATACAACAGGAATGAGACACATTGATATTTTTGGGACTTTACTTTTCTGTACCTTTGTGATTATATTTTTCGGCATTTGTGTTGTTTCTTGTAGGAATACTTAGGCTTCTTCCAGTTATTGACAGTGGACGTGGCATGAAATATTATTTACACACACACACACACACATTGTTCACTTTAAGTGATTTCAACCTTGTATTTTGTACCTATTCTGGGCTCACCTGACAACTGATTTTTGCAGTGCCTTGTGGGACTGGGAGGGTGCAGCTTAGTGCAGCCGCCGGGTTAAAAACCACTCTGTCAACCCCCTATAGCTTTTACCCTGGCTCGCTGTGCGGCTATTCCCTCTAAGGTCCTAGAGGGAAAATATAGAGAGACACCATAGGAAGACAAGGGCTGCCCATGTCCCATGGGGAGAAGTGGAATCGATGCCCCGTATGTTCTCCCGCTGTCCTTTTCATCAAGTTTATCGGGATAAGCTTATCTCCCCCCTTAGATAGGCCAGCACTTGATGCAGATAGTGCCGATCTAGAGAGAGACTTCTGACAGAGGAAAATCAGCAAAACTCCAGACAAATAGCTAAATTCTGCTTGCAGCTGGAAAAATTCCACAATAAAAACCCTCAATCACCTTTGACATGACTTACAATTAGTTCAGTTTTAGACATTTTTACAGTCATTTTGATATTACGGACTGTTAAGCTTTTCTATTTTTTAAAATATTTTAATGGTTTTAAGGTTATATGTCTAAATATATATTTCTGGAACTGAAAGCTAATTTACTTGTATTTAACAAATAGGTATTATTTTGATAGATTGTCTTAGACCGTAAATAAACTTAATTCATTCATTCTCGTCAACCTGCTGCCTACCGGGGGGTGGGGGGGTGGCATTAAGCAGAACCTTTGGCCTGAGGGAGACCCTCTCTTCTCTTCGCCAGTGTTCAGGACCAGGACAAGAAGCTGCAGGACCTGTGGAGAATTTGCCAGAAGCTGCCGAAGCAGAACCTGGCCAACTTCAGGTAACTCGACAGGCAGCACCTTCCCTCAGAGGAAGAGAGCTCTCCGGCTGTAGTTTTCAGCTGGGGGACTCTCTGTGGTGAGCAGATTTGGGGGGGGAACTTTTAATCAGTGGGATCCCTTTCATATTCTGAGCTGTTCTGTTTGAAAGGTTTTTTTGTGTGTATTTAGTGTTATAAGAGCAAGAATTGCGGGAGCATTAGAATAGTGACAAGCCCAGTAGCACCTGTGTTTCTCGAATGCTTATGCCACAATAAAGAGAAGAGATTGGATTTATACCCCGCCCTTCACTACCCAAAGGAGTCTCAGAGAGGCTTACAAGCTCCTTTCCCTTCCCTTCCCCACAACAGACACCCTGTGGGGTAGGTGGGGCCGAGAGAGCTCTGACAGAAACTACTCTTTTCAAGGACAGCTCTGACAGAACTATGGCTTGCCCAAGGTCATCCAGCCAGGTGCAAGTGGAGGAGTAGGGATGTGCAAAAAAAAAAAAAAATTGGTAAAATTCGGATTCGGGTTTATTGGACCCGAATTTTTTTGGGAAACCTGAAAAACCCCGAATATCTATATCGGTAAAGCATAGATATGCGAAAATCTTCGGGAAACCCGAAAAATTCGGGTCCATTATAACCAATGGGGCCATTGAAGTCAATGGCAAAAATCCTCTTGAAACCTTGCGGGGGGCTGGGGGGGAGGGGGTTTGGG